GAAATGTCCCTGCGGGCATGGCTAGCCCCCCACAACCTCGTCCCCGTAACCCACCCCCCCCTTCCCTGTTCACATGGCAGAGCTCTGCAAAGTGGTCTTGAGGTGAAGTGCAGGAGGGAGTAACTTCTGATCAGAGTCGGGTCAATGACGCCGCCGATAAACCCACCACCAGGCCTCTCAGAGGGAGGCCGGGGAGCCCCTGGCTCAGATGGGCTGGAGGCTGGTGCAGAGCCCAGAAGGCACCGCAGCAGAGTCCCGACAGACATCTCAGCCCACGGAGCGGGTGAGGCATCCTTTTCCAGGGGGGCCTGGTGCCCCCTTCAGTCTGGAGGAAGGCTTTTTAAATTTTTTAAGATTTTATTTATTTGACAGAGAGCACAAGCAGGGGGAGCAACAGGCAGAGAGAGAAGCTGGCTCCCCACTGAGCAGGGAGCCTGACTCAGGACTCGATCCCAGGACCCCAGGATCATGACCTGAGCCGAAGGCAGACAGTTCACCAACCGAGCCACCCAGGCGCCCCGGGAATGACAGTATATTTAAAGGAGAAACCGTATGAGTGGTTGAGAGGATTGGCTAAATCAGAGTATACTGCAAAACGCAGAACTATGAATCTGTTGAAAAGTCACGTGGAAGAAGTTTCTGTCCATATAAGGCAGGGCTGTGAGCCCCGTCACTGGCGAAATTCGGTCAGGGCAGCTCTTCAGGGAGAGCAGTCGTGTCCCCTGTGAGATGTTGGCAGTGCCCCTGGCCTCCGCCCGCCGGATGCTGTAGCTGTACGACTCCTCCCCGAACTGTGTTAAGCCAAACTCTCTATAGGCCGCCTCGCGGCCCCCGAGGGTTAGAGCCACTGGCAGTGAGAAAGGCCGTGATCAGTCTCTCCATTCCATCTGGCGGCTGAGTGCTGCCCACGTGCCGGGGTCCGGCTAGCTGCCAGGAACACGTCACGCACGTGAAAGTGACCAGGGTGAGTAAGAAATCAGTCGTCAAGCTATGTGCAACGAGATCCAAAGTGCCTATGGTTTTGCCACCCCGAGAAGCATCAGTGTTGGGGCGCCTGGGCGGCTTAGTGAGGCGTCTGCCTTCGGCTCAGGTCAGGATCCCGGTGTCCTGGGATCAAGTCCCGCATCGAGCTGCCTGCTCAGCGGGGGGCCTGCTTCTCCCTCTCCCTCTGCCGCTCCCCCTGCTAGTGTTCGCTCTCTCCTTCTCTTTCTCTCTCTGTCTCAAATAAATAAAACCTTAAAAACAAACAAACCTCAGTATGCAAATACTGTCTGTGCTTGTTCATTCCCTCCAGAATCCTTTTCATCCCTCTGAATGAAAAGGTGCTGTTGTTGATCTCTCCTTTGCGAGCATGAGGAAATGGGCCATTTCTCTCAAGTTCCAGAGAGAGGAACTCATGCTTCCCGGATACCCAATTAATCTGCTCGCATAGTCCAGGAACATTTGAGGATGGCACTGAGAGATGGGTCTCCTGGGCTAGACGCGCACCCTCTCGCCCTGCGCTGTGCCCCACGGACACTGCACAATTAGAAGGAGGGGCATCACGCGGGTCCTGTCTCCTTTGCCGCCCACCGACTTGTCCTGCTAAGAGCCGGGCAGTTTTAACCAGGACCTTCCAACAACGGTGGCTCCTTCTCTGGGGGAGACAGTGCTGCCGCGGTGGGAGCTGCGGGGAAGTCGCCCTGAGTGCTCCTGCGGGGCCCCCCTTTCGGGAGAAGCCCAGGTCTGTGCCTGGGGCATCGCTCTTTGATTTCCGCAGGAAGGGGTCCAGCCGGAGGAACTGAACTGTCAGCGATTAGGGGACCCAAAGCTCTTCAGTGGTTCCAACCACATCCCTTTCTGCTTAGTCATTATACTTAGAGGGAGAAATATCTCAAAGATAATTTATTTATTATCAGATAGAATTGTGGTAAATGGATAAGTATGACTTCCTATGATTTAGCCGTAATAATGTGGTCTGGCTTTACATTGGGAAGAGTGAGAACTTCTTATTTTAGAAAAAAAGAGGGGAGGGTAGTGTAAGCTATCAAGATGAATATTGAAAAAATTGGTGTTCTACATAGATGGCCACTGGCAACAATTTGGTTTGTTTCTTCCCACTTCTGTTTCTCTGAGCAAGTTTATAACGAAGAGTGTTCAGGTAGCCACGGTTTCTCCTGATTCCCTTGGAGCCTAACTAAGGACTAAAAGTCTACCCAGGGACACCTTTGGGGTGGCCTGTCTCTGCCTCCATTTCTTCAGAATCTTCCTACGCAGGGCCTGGAAGTGAGCAGACCACAGACAACAGAAAATAAACCTCTGGGGCGCCTGGGTGGCTCGGATGGTTGAGCGTCTGCCTTCGGCTCAGGTCATGATTCCAGGGTCCTGGGATGGAGCCGCATGTCAGGCTCCTGGCTCCTGGCTGGGTGGAGGGAATCTGCTTTTCCCTCTCCTCATGCCTCTTCCCCTGCTCATGTACTTGCTCTCGCTCTCTCTCTCATGGATGAATAAAATCTTAAAGAAAAAAAAAAAAGAAAAAGAAACCTCTTTTCAAACATCATACATTTCCTTTTCCTATGACCATATATTTGGTCAGGTTACAAAGAATGCATCCATACCTCCAAAAATTGAAATGACAAGTGGCATTTATGCTCACATGCAGGAAATGAAGACATTTAAAGGAGAAAATGAAAACATAAATAAAAGATGTTTACAACAAGAAATTATAAAATATTTCCATTAAACAACTCTAGGATAAAAAGGAAAATATAAATGAAACTTGTGAAAATTGCACACTTTCAAAACAATTGAACATAAAAATTATGTATGGGCACATATATTTTGTTTATAATTTCAAGTTTTTGTTTAGTTTTATTTAGTTTTGTAGTTTTATGTTTTTCATAGAATATTTTATATATTCATACTTACAAATTATGTAAGTTGTATATAAGTTTTAGATATAAAACATTTTCTATAGACATGTATACATAGGTTTATAATTTTGTTTTTATGTTTATATATTTAGTTTTTAAATTATTTTTCCTTTTTAATTTTGATTTTTTTTTAAGATTTTATTTATTTATTTGACAGAGAGATCACAAGTAGGCAGAGAGGCAGGCAGAGAGAGAGGAGGAAGCAGGCTCCCTGCTGAGCAGAGAGCCCGATGTGGGGCTCAATCCCAGGACCTTGGGATCATGACCCAAGCCAAAAGCAGAGGCTTCAACCCACTGAGCCACCCAGGCACCCCAAGATTTTTTTTTTTTAAACATTTTATTTATTTATTTGACAGAGAGAGATCACAAGTAGGCAGAGAGGCAGGAGAGAGAGAGGAGGAAGCAGGCTCTCCACGGAGCAGAGAGCCCGATGCGGGGCTTGATCCCAGGACCCTGGGATCATGACCTGAGCCAAAGGCAGAGGCTTTAACCCACTGAGCCACCCAGGCGCCCCCTAAGATTTTTTTTAAGTGATCTCTGTACCCAACATGGGGATCAAACCCACAACCCTAAGGTCAAGAGTCACATGCTGCACGGACTGAGCCAGCCAGGAGCCCCTATTTATTTAGAGTTTTAATGTTTATGTAGTTTATGTTTATAGTTTTTAAAATATATTTTACATAAATATAGGTTTTACGTATAAATTTTATAAATAAACATGTTTTCTTTATATATACATTTTATATATAAATGTGTTCATTGTTTTAAGCTTTATTTAGCTTTTTACAGTTTTATATGTATAACACTCACATACACACATGCATATGATGTCACAATCAACTGCGTAAATTTCCAGTAGTGATTGGAGAAGTAAAATACAGGTCTGTGGGAAACAGAGGAGCCTGATCCTCAGTCATCTGAGGACAGGAAGTTCTGTCTGTCTGCCTAGTTGCACAATCATACAGATTATACTAGGCTGGCAGAAAGGTGTAGGTAAGAGCACCTTTTATATAGGACGTTCAACAAAATGCAATGATTTGCAAGAGTGTGCCTGCCGGTCGGAAACACCGACAGCCTCCTGTCCGGCTCCAGACCGTGAGAGATAAATTCCTGCCGTTCTTGAGGCATCTAGTTTACTTGCAGCAGCCCAGTCTTGGCAGATTAAGTAACATAGTATCAATTTTCCCCACTTTTAAAAAAATGATTAACTTGTTTGTGCCCTTAAATATCCTTAAATATGAGTTGTTTTCTTCGAAGAGCATGGATTTTTTGGTGTGCCCAGGTTGTCGGTGTCTGTCTTCTGACTGGAACACTCACTCACTATACGTGCAGTATAGGTGCTGGCGTGCTCGGATTTAAAGCCGACTCTGCCATTTGTGCCACCTGCACGGTGGCACTACACACTGCGGAGATTAGAAGAGAATGACAGCTGTCGTAAAGTAGAGGAGGGACAACAGTTTTGACACACGTGACTGTGCAACAGGGGGATGTGGGAGGACAGAACGTGGAAACAAAAAGAGTGAACGCTATGGAACGCGTTTGTGCAGTGGCCCAAATGTGTTTGCTTAAGAACGTTTTGGGCAAGCAGTAATTTCTCCTGCTGATCTGCCTGGGACAGGTGTAAAGAAACCAAGTGTGCGACTGCAGATGTCGACGGCGACACGTGGTGGGATGCCTGACTGATAACTCTAAAACGAGGGAGGTTTTTTTTTTTTTTTTAAATTTTATTTATTTAATTGACAGACAGAGATCACAAGTAGGCAGAGAGGCAGGCAGAGAGCGAGGAGGAAGCAGGCTCCCGGCAGAGCAGAGAACCCAGTGCGGGGCTCGATCCCAGGACCCTGAGACCAAGACCTGAGACAAAGGCAGAGGCTTTAACCCACTGAGCCACCCAGGCGCCCCTAGTGAGTTTGTTTTTATCACACAACAAAACGTCTCAAAATAGGCAGCTGTTCCCCTTGGCTCAAAGGCTCGTGAGTCTGTGCCCAGAAAGAGCTGGCATGAGAGACTATACGGGCCTTCTCTCAGGCTAGAAGGCAGCAAGTCCTCTCAGACGAGCAGCAGATACTACATGTGACGGCATATCCCTCTGTAGGACTCTCTTCTGTCAGAGAAAGAGACATCCTTTCTTTCCTTTCAATCCTCCAGAACGCTTTCTTCTATCGTTCTGATGTGAGAAACGAAGGCAGAAGAAAAATTACTGAATGTCCTTATTACTTACAGCCCACTGACAAGTCCTTGAAAAAGGCAGAGTGACATTCCTCTAGGAACTCAGCTGCCAGGATGTTGACACTTTGCTAAGCATAAAAGGCAATTCCACTAGACCACCCCCCGCCGCCCCACATCCTGTAAGTCTCCTTTAACATAAAAATTCCGTTGGAGGGCCGCCTGGGTGGCTCAGCTGTGAGGCTAAGCGTCTGCTTTTGGCTCAGGTCATGATCCTGGAATCCTGGGATGGAGCCCTGCATTGTGCTCCCTGCTCAGTGGGAAGCCTGCTTCTCCCTCTCCCCACCCCCCACCCCCCGCGTTTGTGTTCCTGCTGTCACTGTCTCTCTGCCAAATAAGTAAAATCTTAAAAAAAATTCTTTTGGAAACTTCCTTTATCTCTACGTAGACCACCCCCTCAAATACAAGTTGGCATTCATCTCCCAAGCATATGACCCACCAATGTAGCTCTGAAGGGTCTCATGACTCAGGTTTTATTAGACAGTAATAAATGGCCTTTTTCTAACAATAGCTAGCCCTCTGAAAATCCTGAAAATCTCGCTTCCAAAATTCTGTAGAGACTTACACTATCCCTAACCCCCTCCCAAGTTGAAAGTATATAATGAGCCACTCCTCCTGACCCCAGTGTCTTTCTTTCTTTCTTTCTTTTTTTAAGATTTTTATTTATTTTTGAGAGAGAGGAGAGCGTGATTTGGGGCAGGGGCAGAGGGAGAAGCAGGGAGCCCAGTGCAGGACCCAATCCCAGGACCCTGGGACCATGACCTGAGCCAAAGGCAGATGTTTCACCCACTAAGCCAGCCAGGCACCTCCCCACCCACCCCCAGTGCAGCTCTTTCTGCCGCAGGTCCTGTGCCCATGCTTTAATAAAACCACCTTTTTGCACCAAAGACGTCTTAGGAATTCTTTCTTGGACATTGGCTTTGAGCCCTAACGTCCCTCCTACATCAGTCTCCACGGCTGTGGAGACCACCTCTATTTAGTTATGATTCTGCTACTTTATACCAGCGTGGCAAAATACTTGCCACATAATAGAAACTAAGGAATATATTGAATAAATGAAATACAAAAGTGGCTTAAGATCAAGCTCTAGAATATCATTGTGACTTTGTGCCAGAAATTTCTGGCTTGAACCCGAGGCTCTCAAAATTTCATTTGTTAAGAAATTGCGCAGTCTCTGAAGCTCAGGTTTGTACACTTAAACTATCAGGATTTATTTATTCATGCTTTCATTCCCGAATTCACTTAGCAGCCTCAGAGCCTGTGGATGCCGCCCCCTCCCCCCGCCCCGCCAGTGAACTCCTGAGGGAAAGCGCCTTCCCCTACAGCAGGTGTTAGCTTCAAGGTGTCAGCCAAATTCCAGAGGCCAGAGAGAAACCGACAGAACAAAAGACACGGAATGGACTGTGGGCCTGGTTCCGGTACAAACCGGTACGAACGTGTGTTGCCTTCCACACGTTCACAGGATTCTTAGGGGACGGCTGCCTCATTCAGAGAAACAGGCACAACAGGGCCTTACCAGGATTTAGGACATCTCTGCCCTGGCCCTCTGGTTTCTCTATAGCCACGCAGTGTCCAGATTCATAAAGCTCTCCTCGGTGCATGGCTTCCCAAACTTTCCCACCAAAGTTTCCCTAAACAGCAGAAAGAATGATACTCACTCTTGGGAGGTGGTCTAAGGAAAACCCAGAACTGCCAGATTGCAGGTTTTCTTGATTTTCTTGGCCATCCCCTTTGTTCCAGCACCACCAGGTGTGCAGAAGAATTTTCCTGTTCAAGAAGCAACTTCCTCCAAGGAAAAACCCCTGAAGGGGTGAACAGGACAGGGGTTTTGGAGTCCCCAGGACCTGGATTCGGAAATCAGCTCTGACCTTTGCTAGCCCTGTTCCTTTGGGTGAGTACTTTCCTAACCTCCTTGCGCCTCCATTTATGCACCTGGAAACCAGAGATTTCAGTAGAAACAACTCTGAGTAGGGTTAAAAGGATTAAATAAAACCTTAAGTGTGGGATTCCTGGGTGGTTCTGTTTACTGGGGATCTGCCTTCAACTGAGGTTACCATCTTGGGGTCCTGGGATGGAGTCCCACACTGGGCTCCCTGCTAGGGGGGGGTCTGTTTCTCCCTCTCTCCGTCTCTCTCCCCCTTCCCTTTTCCACCCCCATTCATGTACTTTCTCTCTGATACATAAAAATCTTAAAAACACAAAACAAAAACAAACCTTAGGTGGAAAAGACACTTTTGACCAGGGACTGTGATGTGGTAGGTGCTAGCAGCAGGGGTGGTAGTAAATTAAGTCCTAGTAATCATCCCTGGTAACTGCTATTTTCATATCACCACTGCTTTGTCACACAATTGGGAATCCAAAAATTAGTCCTTCACACATTTCCTTAGTGTCTAGCCCCAGGAACTCGATCATTCTTCCGGTCAGGCCAGCGCAACCACAAACCCTGGGTTTGCACCACACAGGCTGCAATATCGCGCTTTGCAGTAAGAAGTAGGTCCTTGTCCTTTGCCCCTTCCTGGCCCTTGGAATTCCTAAGGGAGGAGCGAGTGAAGGGTGTCTTTTGTCATGTTAAAGGCACCGCAGTGTGGGAGTGGGGGTGTGGGGAGGGATAAGGGACCCCTAGGGTGGGGGCTGGTGGTCAGGGGAGCCAACCACGTGACTAGACGGCTCGAGCCTGCACTCCCACCCCCAGCTCTGTGGAAGGGAGAGGGGCTGGAAACTCAGTCCAGTCACCAACGGCCATGCCTACGTAGTGAAGCCTCCGTCCGGGCCCTCCAGGCTGGCGAACACGCGGAGGCCCCGCCACGGCCGAAGCCGGGAGCCCCGTCCCGCGGACTCCGTCCGGCCGTTTTAGGACGGCTGGCGACCTAGTGAGTGGACGTTTGTCCGAGCCGCGTGCACCGCTCTTCGCGTGTTGGTCGAACCCGGCGAGGCGGGTCACGGGAACCTCCGACGGGCGCACTGGGCGCTGGCGTCTGGTCGGGGGTGGGCGCGGGCCGGGGAACTGGGCTCCTGACCTCGGGCGTCAGAGTCGTCCCGGCCCCTGGGTCGGAATCAGACTGGGCGGAGGAGCCCGCCGGGGTCAGAGGGCGGTCTGAGGGTGGGGAGAAGAACGGAGCCTGCACACGCGGTCCCAACGGTGGTTTCACTCGCGTCCTTACACGAGCGCGCGCCTGCACCAACGCAGTCTCTGCGCATGCGCAGCGCCCCACAGCCGCGAGGGCCGGGACCCAGGGTGAGGTGGGAGGTCAGCACCTGGGCCCCACGAATCCGTGTCACAGCTGCTCTGCGTCGTGCGAAAGCAGGCAGAGTCCGCACGCCTGCGGGCCGCACGCATGCCCAGCGACACACACAACGACCCACCCTGCGCTTCGCGCGCGCAGACGCCCAGGCGCCCGGGTCGGGTCCGCCGCGCACGCCCCTCGCCTCTCAGAACCCCTACCACGAAAGGGGCGAGGCCTCGGGCGCCGCCGCCGCGCCCGGCCGTGACGTCATCGCGCGCCGCAGGAGCTCCCGGGAAACGTAGGCTGCGGGCCGGGGAGGCGCCACGCAAAGGATACTGGGTTCTTCGTTCTACGTAGGCGCTAGTGGGATTCCCTGCGGGCCTGGAGGAGCATCCCTCCTCCGTCCCTCCCGCGGGTCCCTTCGACTGCGGCCTGACAGATCTCTGCCAGCGCAAGCCCGGGTCCCTCAATCGCACGTTTTGGGCCTGGCCCTCCGGGGCCGCACCGCGCGGCGCCCCGAAGGCCCCGAGGACGTGCAGCCTGAGCTCGCAGTGTGCACGCGCAAGTGCGCGCGGCAGCACCCGCGGGTGAGCCCTGCAGTGCGGAGGGGAGGGCGCTGGGTCGAGAAGCCCCCGAACGGGCATCTGCGGGTGTGCACGCGATGAGGGTGGCCAGCCGCGGAGGCTGGGTTTGGCTCAATGGATCACGGAAACACCGCGCCTGAGGGCGTCTACGTGACTTAGCAGGAGCAGCGAGTCCGCGGACCGCGCGGTAGGGTATGTGCTTGCGCGCGGCCCTGTGTGCCGAGTGGGATGGTGCAGGGGCGGGGCCTGGCGCGGCGCGTGCGGCAGCGTCCCCAGGGCAGCTCTGATTGCGCGGCGGTGCTTACGTACGTGCCCTGCGTGGGCGGGAGGGGGTGGGGCTCAGGCCCAGTTTGTGGGAAGGTCCCGGGAGAGGCGAGTGAGCGCGTGCGCGCCGCGTGGCTATGTTTAGGGGCGGGGCTGAGCATTCTTGGGGACGCCCAGGGGGCGGGCGGGCGGCCGTTCTACGTGTTGTCGTGTGAGGGGGCGGGGCCGGCGGGTGGGTCTGGGGTTACGGCGGAGAGTGCGCAGGCGCTAGGGGCGCGGGATGCTGCGCAGGTTTTGGAGTGGGCGCTACCCGGACGCGACTCCTGAGGACTGAGGTGAGAGTGAACGCGTGTCTGTGAGGTGGTGAGGTTGTGCGGGGTCGCGGGGCGGTGCGAGGTGGTGAGGAGGCGCAGGGTGGTAGGTCGGGGGTGGTGCGGGGTCGTGAGGCGGTGCGAGGTCGTGAGGAGGCGCGGGCTCTTGAGGCGGCGCGGGGTCATGGGCGCGGGACTGTGGGGGGCGTGACGCGGGGCTCAAGCTACGCGCCCGGAACTGCGTGCGCGGTGGAGGCCGGCACTGTTCGGGATGCGTGGTGGCGGCTGCGTGCGGGAGACCGACGGCAGGTGTGGGAACGGGCGCGTGTCCCGGACCGTGGGGTTCCCTGTGCGGGACGGGGCGTTCGGGAGCGGGGAGCGGACGCTGGTGGGCGCGGGTGGCGGGCGCGTGCAGGCGGCACGGAGGCTCCTGTTGGCGGAGCGCGTTCGTGCGGTGCCTCAGACCCGGGGGCCGGTGCTCGCCGTGTGGGACGCCTGTGGAGTTGCGCTGGCGTCTCTGCCCCGGCGGGAGGGTTCCGCGCGGCTGCGCGTGCTGCCCGCCCGGCTGGGGTGGGGGGAGGCCGGAGTGCCCCTCGGTGAGAGGGAGGGCGCGCGGAAGCCGGCGCCCCAGCGCGGGAGAAGCCAGCCGGTGACACGGGTGCGACCCCGGCGCAGAGCTGCGGGTGCCGTGGGTCGTCGCGCTGGGTGTCGTGGGAGGTTCGGGGGCGGAGGTAGGGTCGCGGTGCTGAATGCTGGGGCGGCTTCGGTCTCGGAGCCTGAGAGGAAGGCCCCACGGTGGAGCGCGGTGCTCCCGGTAGCGCCGCTGCCTCAGTGGGTGGGGAAGGGAGAGCAAGGCCCACGTGGCGGCGGGGACCTCTGGCCGCGGGGGCCGCTCCTCTCCTTGCCAGCCGGCGACTCCAGGTTCCGTCACTCACCCCTCGTGCAGCTTCCAGAGAGGTTTCGGGAATCCAGTTCTCCTCGTTTCTCTCCGCACGCAGGGACGGTAGTAGTGGTGATCTTAGCCTTGTGGTCGGTGCGGAACGCGTGAGCAAGTGCTTGTTATGAAATAATGACCCCAAGGATCTCACACCCACCTAGAGGGCAAGATCCAGGGGAAGAACCGCAGAAGTTGAGCCCAGGGCGAGCGTGTCGGGATCGGATAAAATAACCCTAAAGTCTAGGCTAGATGGTCCAGACTTTTCTGGTCAGGGTCCTGGGAGGGCAGTAGTGGGGTGTGGGACGGGAGACCAGAAGTCCGGGGTCTTGCAGGTTGGAGATGTCCCGACGGAGCCTGTGAGCTGAATATCCTGGGTTGGGACGTAGCAGGGCCCAAGGAGGAGTATTTCCCAGTAACCCCGGAATCGGAGATGTTTCTGTGTCACACCAGGGTTTCTCTTTCTTTGCGTTGTGGATGTTTTGGGCCAGGTAATTTTTGTGTGTAGGGGTGTGTATATGGTGGGGGGAGGGCCTGCCTGTTGTAGGGTGTTTAGCTTTATCCCTAGTGTCTGCACACCAGATGGCAGCAGCACATCCCCCTCCTCTACGGGCTGTGAAAGCAAAAATGTTGCCACATGTTGCCAGATGTCCCCCGAAGGGCAGAGTCACCCCAGTTGAGAACCACTGGTGTATGGGCCATGATGAGGGCGCGCCGTGGACTTTACTAAGGTGTGAGGATAGGGAGGAGAGTGGGGGCTGGAGGAGAGAGGTGATAAAGCGATGGTGATCTCTAGGTGAGCGAGTGTCTGTGCTCTGCAGTCTGGGTGGGCCCTGAGAGGCTTCACTTACTCGGTGGTGTAGTGGCCTGCCATGGGTCAGGCACTGTGCTAGTCAACTGGCAAGACCGATTACTACTCATCTGGAGTGTGCATTTGAGAGGAGGACAGTTCAGTTTGCATTGAGCAGTCATAAGTGGTGGGAGAAGTACAGCAGGGTGAAGGGACGATGGGTTAAGCCCGGGATCAACACGCAGATTTCCCATCTCATTCAGCTCCAAAGCTGGAAAGGGCCACCAGCAGTGACTTGGTGGTATTGATCAGGGAATCCAAGAGTTTGGCTTTGAGCTTATCACAGACTTTTCTCCTTCAGCACTAAGGTCTGGGTTGGGGGCGGGGGTGGGGGGGGTGGATCTGATCTTTTGCCCTGGCCCCTGAGGCTCATAGAGACTGGCATAATGGTCCTCAACTATGGCCTCCTGGGGCTCTTGGGTTGCTCAGGTTAAACGTCTGCCTTCGGCTCAGGTTATGATCTGGGGATGCTTGGGTCGAGCCCCATGTGAGGCTCCCTGCTCGGCTGAGAGCCTGCTTTTCCCTCTCCTGCTCCTCCTCCCTCTTGTGCTCTCTCTCTCCCACGTAAATAAATAAAATCTTTAAAAAATAAAATGAACTATGACTTCCTATTAGCATCACCTTGGAAAGTTTTTACTTACTCATTTTTTTTTTTTTACTTATTTTTTTTTTTAAGATTTTTTTTATTTCACAGAGATCACAAGCAGGCAGAGAAGCAGGCAGAGAGAGGGGGGAAGCAGGCTCCCCGCTGAGCAGAGAGCCTGAGATGTGGGACTCCATCCCAGGACCGTGAGATCATGACCTGAGCCAAAGGCAGAGGCTTAACCCACTGAGCCACCCAGCTGCCCCTTTACTTATTTTTTTAAAGATTTTATTTGGGGCACCTGGGTGGCTCAGTGGGTTAAAATGTCTGCCTTCGGCTCAGGTCATGATCCCGGGGTCCTGGGATCGAGCCCCGCATCAGGCTCTGTTCTTCAGCAGGGAGCCTGCTTCCCCCTCTCTCTGTGTCTGCCTGCCTCTCTGCCTACTTGTGATTTCTGTCAAATAAATAAATAAAATATTAAAAAAAAAAAGATTTTATTTGTGAGTGAGAGAGAGCACGTGCACCCAGCTTGCATGAGCCGGGGGAGGGAGTAGGTTAAGGCAGAAGGAGAGGGAGAAGCACTTAGCCATTTTTCTATTGATGGGTATTTTGGTTATCTCCAGTCTCTTGATAATTTGTATTTGGTGAGCACTGGCATTGTTCTAAGCGTGTTACGTGGTTTTATTCATTTAATCTTCCAAACAGCCCTTTGGAGTCATTGTTACTTGCCCCATTTGCCAATTGAGGAAGCAGAGGCCTAGAGAGGACATGAGAGTTCACCCAGAGAAGGGTTGCAGAGTTAGAAGTTGAACCCAGACAGCCTCCAGGCTCATGCCCTTAACTGTAGAACCTTAACTGCCTGTTCCTACAAGCCTTGCCACAATGAATACCTTTGTGTGTCATTTTATCCACATGCAAGGACTTCCAAACACAGTACCGGAAATGAGGTTTACTGTGTTAGAGGGGATGTGTACCTTCAATTTTCAAAGATTTGCCAAATTACTCTCCAATGAGGTTGTGCTAGTTTCTCTCCTGCCTGCACTGTATGAGAATTCTACCCACAGCCTTCTGAGTGGGTTTCAGGCTTCCTTGGTTTTTTGGGTGCTTGGTGTATACTGAGATAAAAGGGATAAGGAAGGTGAGAAATTACTGTGTGTCTCTTGCTGAGGTTAGCTCCTGTAAAGGTAGCTCGTGTAAACATCCTAACAGCTAAGGGTTTTCTTTACCCCGATATGTGGCAGATGCAAATTTTGAATCCAGAACTATCTAATATCAGACTGTCGTTCCCTCCTCCCCAGCAGTGCTGAGTTTCTCAGAGAAAATTGTTCTTTGGGCAGGAGTTGTGGTTTTCTAATTTGGGGTTAGTGCGAACAGCATTGAGAAACCACAAGATGGACACGATTCTACTTCCTGCAATAATCTGTTCTACCTGAGGAATTGGAAGGGAAAAGCCAAGGGATGTAATTAACTGGTAAATAGTTTAAAGTATGATGTTTATATCAATACAAGCTCAGATTTATTATGATGTAGGATGCCAGTCATGGGGATGTTTGAAAATGAAGCAGAATCAATCAGCAGAAGTTTTCTGTAATGATAAAGCTGCTTTGGGTTCTGTCCTGGACCACAGAACTAGGCATTACCGTTACAGTTTGGGGCTATTAGTCAAAAGTAGGAGAACTCCCAGACAAAGAATGCAGCTTTGTTCTAAGAGACTTTGTGGTAGTGGAGTGCTGGGCCTGGTTCACACTAGATCATAAACCTTTCCCCAGTTCTGTGCTCAGTGACATGAGTTTGGTAGCTTACAGTGGGGCCCTCAGGGGAGTGTTTACACCATGGAAATGGGCAGGTCCTACAGATAACCCTGCCCTGGAGTTTAATGTGGAGAGAATTCAGGCCTCTGTAGACTCTGGGTAGGCCCCTTTGTCTCTGCTTTCTGCATGAGGGTAGCCTTGCTCAGCACAGTCACAGAATGGACCACTTGGTTGGTCACTGAGTCACAGCTCCTCAACCTTAACATGAATGTCCCCAAGTCCTGTGGCCACTCTGATATAACAAAGGTAAATGTCTTGTAACTGTGGTGCCGTACTGATGTCTCTTAAACCCCGCCAGAGTGGACAGCGGGGTATTTCACATATAGACTCCTGTGTCACTCCAAGAGGGAGATTGTACTGCATGTTGGTAGGGGCTCAAGCCTAGGTGCAATTACTTAACGCTTTTTGGCAATAGGCAGGTCCATGTTGAGGTTCCTTTTTTGTTCTAAAGATGGAAGAAGATCATGTGATTTATTTAAAATATCTAGTACAGGGGCGCCTGGGTGGCTGGCTCAGGTTATGATCTCCGGGTCCTGGGATTGAGCCCCACATGGGCGTCCTGCTCAGTGGAAGTCTGCTGCTCTCTCTGCCCCTCCCCCTGTTTGTATTCTCTTTCTCTCAAATAAATAAAATATTTTTAAAAAATTTTTTAAATAAAATATCTCGGGGCACCTGGGGGTGCTCAGTTCAGCATCTGCCTTCAGCTCAGGTCATGATTTCAAGGTCCTGGGATTGAGCCCCACCTTGGGCTCCCTGCTCAGCAGAGAATCTGCTTCTCCCTCTCTCTCTGACTGTCCTCCCCGCTTGTGCCCTCTTTCTCTGTCTTAAATGAAAAAATAAATAAATAAATAAAAAACCTTGTATAGCCCTCATTCTTGTACTTATTAGCCAAGGAGGTGACGCCGTCCCCCAGGGGTGAGCATATTCAACACACACACCTGAGCACTTCCGCAGAGCAAGGGGGCAGCACAGTGACTCAGCCTTTCCTAGACTCGAAGCCCACAGCACTGGCCCCACCCCACCCTAACAACAACAATAATGATAAATTCAGCTACCCTTACCTGAGCGCTGACCATGATACTAGTATCCCACCCAAAGAACTGCACTCAGGTTGAAGAGGTCCCTCTTCCCTACCTGAGTGGGCCTGGAACAGCTCTTTGAAGAAGTGAAGGCACCACACTGTGGCACTGGGGTATGCGCTTAAGTGGATGGAGACAGACTGTAGCGTCAGATAGACTAAACAAACAAGTTACATAGTGTTTTGGGGAAGGACTCAGTCTTTCCCCATGTGTGTCCTTTACTCACATATAGCATGGCCCTTCTGATACCAGATGTGCGGGGTTTTTCCCTCATGAGGCAATTTTGCAACACCAACTGGGCGTCCTACAATTTAACTCCGTTCTAACCACCCTATCTCCCTGGAGATAGTGCATCATCCCATGGGTTTAGGACTCGATCCCATGAGACTGCCCCTCTACTTTACAGACCAATGACAATAGTAGGTCCCAGGCTACCCACAAGTTCTGTCCAGCGTGGCTACAAATCAGAAGTTCCTGTGACCGTCTCCTCCAGTTCAACTGATTTGCTGGAGCAGCTCATAGAACAGAGTGGAAACACATTTGCCAGTTTAGTAAAGGCTATATAAAGGGTACAGATGAAGATCTGCATAGGTGAGCTACATAGATGAGGTCTGGGCGGGGACGAAGTGCGGGAGCTTCTGTCCCAGTGGATTTGGGGTGTGCTGCCCTTCCAGCATGGATGTGTTTACCAGTCTGAAAGCTCTGCTGACCCAATACTGTAAGGGTTTTGTGGAGGCTTCCTCTTGGAAGCATGATCAGTCATTAATTCCATTTGCAGCTTCTCTCCTAGAAGATGCTGGGTGAGGTGGAAAATTTCAAGCTTCTACTCACGGCTTGGTCTTTTCTGGTGACCAGACCCTGTCCAGGAGCGACCCAGAGTCACCTCATTAGAACAAGAGACGTTTCTAGTATTCTTATCACTTATAAATTTACAAGTGCTTTAGCAGTTCTGTGCTACCAAAGAAGGGGGCAGAGACCAATATACACCTTTTTTATTCTCTCAGTAATAGAGCATTAGTGATCAGAGTTATGGAGAAGAGAGAAGTCAAGGCTGGACAAGAGAGACTGAGAGTGATCGGTAGGAGGGTGGGAGGCAGGTTGCAGTGTTATTAGAAGGGTTAGGGTAAGACTGGCAGAGAAGTAAGATCGGAGCATAGAGCAAAATGAGTGAGGAACTGAGGCAGGGCTGTGGTAGCACGTTCGGGGACTGTCAGGTAGGGCTGCATGAGGAAGGAGAGAGATGCAGGACCTTCATTCAACTTCTGTTAATCCTCATGACAATTCCAAGAGTTCTGTATTGTTCTCATTTAACGGGGAAGAAAATGGTAGAGAGGTTATAAGTAACATGGCCATGGTAGCACACCTACATGAAAAGAGTTATCACACCCAGGTGGTCTGACTCCAGCATAATGTGTTTACTTATTTTTTTAAAGATTGATTTATTTTAGAGTGTGAGAGAGTGAGTATGAAAGAGTGTGGGGAGGGCAATGCTAGAGGGAGAGAATTTCAAGCAGACTCCCTGCTGAATGTGTAGCCTGACGGGCTCGATCTCACAACCCAGAGATCATGACCTGAACGGAAATCAAGAGTCAGACGCTTAACGGACTGAGCCACCCAGGTGCCCTCAGAGTGATGTGTTTAACACAGCCCTTCCCTCTGACCCAGAGGGTTAGCGGGGTATCTGGGTTAACCTCAGCTTGAATCCTGGCTCTGCCACTTTCCACCCTATGACCTTGAGCAAGTGATCCCCACTCTGTGCTTCATGTTCCTCATCTGGAAATGGTGTTAGTGGAGTGAGGATTAAATGATTTTTGTGAAGTGATACCTTGCATGTTTAAGCACTCAGTATTCATTTTAGTATTAGTCTTAGTATTATTACTATTGCTTACTACTACTGCTTTTCTCTTTGTAAAGAGAGAAGCATGATAAACTAAATGTTCTTCTGACTGGGTTCCTTTAAGCAGTATAGGGTGATCTTAGGACTTGGATTTGAATTAAAACATACCCATTCTCAAATTCTTTTTTTTTTTTTTCTCAAATTCTAAACATAACTATGGCCTTGGTTTCATTTGGCCTCCCTAACTCCACCCTCAAGAGAGAAAAAAAAAATCTGTAGAGAGAAATATTCATATTTCTGTATTCCCGACTATACGCTACTGTACCTTTTTTCATAGAAAAAAAAATCTGTAGAGAGAAATATTCTTATTTCCATATTTCAGACTGTACGCTACTGTACCTTTTTTCATAGAAAAAAATCTGTAGAGAGAAATACTCGTATTTCCATATTCCAGACTGTATGCTACTGTACCTTTTTCATAGAAAAATCACCAAAAATCACCAAAAGCGCCTTGGTGGCTAAGTTGTTAAATGTCTGCCTTTGGCTCAGGTCATGATCCTGAAGTCCTAGGATTGAGTCCCATATCAGGTACCCTGCTCAACAAGGAGTCTGCTTCTCCCTCTGACCCTTACATCGCTTGTGCTCTCTCTCAAATATTAAATAAATAAATAAATAAATAAATAAATAAAGAGAAGAAAAATCAAAAGATTTTTATGACATATTCACTATTGCACTGTTGTTGGCACTGAAGTATGTTGATGGCATTCTTTAGAGGTATGTGCTGAACCATGTAGACATGAATTTTGATCGTGTTTATAATTTTGAAATGATTGCAGAAAAAAAGGAAAATGTTAACATTTGGTGGAAAAGGAATCAGCTGTTCATTATACTATTCTTTTCTCTAGATTTCAAATTTTTCAAAAAGGGGATATATAAAGTACAATCCATTTCTGCCTTCTGTGGACTGTGGCCTTCTCCAAAAGACAAATTTAGAGTTGGGGTGACTGCTAGCAGAAATGTTTCTCTATAAGATGATGTTGACATAAAATGTCAGCCCAGTTTCATCATGCCAGGAAGCGTTCCTGACTGGTTATTGATTCAGTCAACAAGTATTTCTTGAGCACTCCGCTGTGCAGGCACATTCTCAGCTCCCAGGAGAACAGTGAATAAAACAGTCAAAGTAGCTTGCTCTCATGGAGCCCAGGTCAAGGTGGGGGAGATTGTCCCCACACAAAACCTGCCAAGGGAGGCAGGTTGTGCTATGAAGAAAATGAGGCAATAGAATGGTATAGATTCCAGTACAGAGCAGTGTTATCCTGTGAAAATGTTAATGTAAGACAAATTTTAAATATTCTGGCAGCCACATTGAAAGAAGTGGAAAAAAACAATCGTTACAGTTAATCTTAGCACATTTTATTTAACTTAATATATCCTAACCATCAATTTGTGATCTATATAAACAAAAATATGAAATGTTTTACATTTTTTTCATGCTGTCTTTGAAATCTGTGTTTTACACATGTAGTACACCTCAACTCAGACACTTAATTTTTACTGTTTGATCTGTATTTATTTATTTATTTATTTATTTATTGAGAGTACACAAGCAGGGGGAGAGAGAAAGGGAGAAGCAGACTCCCCTCTGAGCAGGGAGCCCGACATGGGACTCAATCCCAGGACCGTGGGACCATGGCCTGAGCCGAAGGCAAACGTTAACCAACTGAGCAATGTAAAGGGTACAGATGAAGAGCTACAGAGGTGAGCTACATAGATGAGGTCTGGGCAGATACCAAGTGTGGGAGCTTCTGTCCCTGTGCATTTGGAGTGTGCCCAGGAGCCTCTTGATCTGTATTTAAATTTCATAAAACTTATCATTGGAAAAGTACGTTCACACACCCAGTTATTTCAAACATTCCTCAAAGTTCTACAGTAATTAAATCGAGGATCAATTTTTAATTTTAGATTTAATTTTAATTGTTGATTTTAATATTTATTATTAAGATTTTAGTAATAAATTAATTGAAACTAAATAACATTAAACACTCCGTTGCAGTAGCCTTATTTCCAGAATTCAGTTGTCACCAGTAGCTAATGCATGTAGAACAGCATAGGTGCAAAGTGACACAGTGATAGAGGGGCCTGGTCCATCCCACCGAATTTCGCTGTCAGATTACACATAACCTGCCTGATGAATTGCCTCTTCAGCTCTTGCATCCCCTCCACCTCTCACCAGCATCCACAGTGTATTCACCACAGAGCCACTCATCAAATTTTGTTAAATGTTGAGTCACATACGCCACTCCTCAGACTCTTGCTCCCTCGGTGATGTCTTATCATGCTTAGGATCAGTTCCAGACCACTCACAACCCTTTCGTGACGTGGCCCCTCCTGAACTCAGTCATCTCAGAATTCCCCATCTCAGAACTCTCCATCTCACTCGTTCTGCTTAAGCACACCATTTACTTTCCTCCACACACCTGCTGCAGGGCCTTTGCACCTGTTGTACCTCTACCCAGAATGCTCTTTCCCAAGCATCCAAGTGCCTGACACTTGTACTACAGTCGCACCTCGACTCGGTGTTGCATCCTTGGAGAGGCCTCCCTCAACCACCTCTCCACCCCCAGCGCTGTTTTGGTGGGGGGTTGTTTTGTTTATATAGCAGTGGTCTCAGCTGACGCTGTGTTCTATATGAACTTGCCATCCCTGGTGGAGTGTAAGGCACAGTGGAGCTGGTAATTCTGGTCTAACTCTGCTCTTTCCTCAGCACCTGGGACAATGCCTGGCACATAGGCACTCGGCAAGTGTTTGTCAAACAGATGGAGAGCTGTCTTCGTGTCTCATTTGCCTCCTGATCTGGAGCCTTCTGTGATCTTGGAAACAGATAGCATTGGCTCTGCCCCTTCCCTGACAAGGGTCAGGAATGCTGCAGAAGATATTCTGACCTCCCTTCATGTGTGTCTGTGTACCTGTGTGTATGTGTGCTTGTGCGTGCATGTGTGACAGACCAGGGTGACGGACCAGGGAGTTCTTATCCTAGAGACTCTGGAACTACCCAGAAGGCCCTGTTATCCTCATGATTTCTCTTCTCCCACAGCCCCACCTTCTCTGCGCTCTGCCCTTCTCCAAATGCGGATCCTCAAGGGGGAGGAAAGGATGCCTGCTGCGCGAGGGAAGTCCAGGTCCAAGGTAAGTAGTCAACTGTTCTTGCAGGGAAATTCCATCTTGTAAGACATGGGTCATTTGCTTTCCTTCCATGGAAGCTTCCTGTCTGACAGAATCCCATCCAAGTTCTGGTCTTTGTTTCCCCTCATCAACCATGGAGGGTAGGAGGATGAGAAGAGCTCCAGCAGCCCATGTAACCACTCCGCGCCCTCCTCTCCTTTTTTTTTCTCAGTGTGCATATGGCTATTCACCTGTTTGTTTAGCATCTCCAGGTTGTGTGCCTCGGCTGTTCCTAGATGGAGGAGGAGAGCCACCATCCTTTCTCAAGGTAGACAGGAGTGCCCAGGCAGCGTCTGCTGAGGCAGAGGAGGACTCGAGGTTGTGCTCTAGAGTTAATCTGTTAATGTCTCTTTGCTTTTATGTGTATAGCCCATACTTAGAAGGAGGAGAGCTCTCTGATTTCAGAGATTCCACATCACCTTTCATTCAGATTGGGTTCTTTGCAGTCAGGCCAGTGAGTCAAGCTTCTGTTAAAAAACATGCTTCACCACTTCAGATGATGAAGTGATTTTCTAAAATAAGCATCTTGAATGCGATTTCTCTAACAAACACTTTTTCCACAAACTTGGCTGCTCAGAACATCACATATTTATGGCGCACAGTTTGTGGGTCGGAGATCAGGCATAGCTCAGCATGGCTGCGTCCTCTGCTTTCAGTCTCACAAGGCTGAAAAAAGGTGTTGGCTTGCTGTGTGGTCAGACCTGAGGCTCAGGTCACATCTGAGGCTCTTCAGAACTCACTGTTTATTAGCATATTCAGTTTCTTCTGCTTTCTACATGTCCCCCCCCCCCCCAAAATCTTCAAGCCAGCAATAGCAGATCAAATCAGGCTTCAGATTTCTGACTTCTTTTCCACTCCCCTCTTCCAGCTGGAGAAAATTTCCCTACTGTTATGGGCTCCTGTGATTACATCATCTGCCTAGATAATCCAGGATAATCTCCCTATTTAAGGTCAAGTGATCAGTAACCTTGGTTACATCTACAAAGAACCTTTGGCTCTTTAGAGAGTGTGTAATTAGGGGCCTTAATCAGAAGCCATATCCAGATTGAACTCCGGGTCCTCCATTCACTAGTTGTGGACCTTCCGTCCATAAGTGGCGCTCCCGTCTCTGGGTCTCCCACTTCCTCATCTGTAATGTTGCTATGATCCTCTCACCAGTACTGTGGTCACTGGCTAACATGAGTCAGTACCTGCGGGGAGCTTAGAAAAATGCCTTTCCTTTGTCAGTGCCCGGTAAATCCAAGTTGGAACTGCTTTTTATGGGACATAGTTTTTAATAAGAGCTACATCATATTGTATTGTGTTATGTTTTATTTAATGCACCTGCTGCTCTTGGCGTCAGAAGGTCAAATGTTTCCTGAAGATTCCTGGCACCATGGGTCTCCCATGTTTGGGACAAATTCCTTATTGTCTCCAGCCATTTGGAAGCATAAACCTGTGGTGAAAGTACATGTGATTTTCTGTTTCAGGTGCCAGTGACATTTGGGGATTTGGCCATCTACTTCTCCCAGGAGGAGTGGGAATGGCTGAGCCCCATTCAAAAAGACCTGTATGAAGATGTCATGTTGGAGAACTACCAGAACCTGGTCTCTGTCGGTAAGACTCTCTCCACCCTGTAATCCACAACCAACCCATTGTGGGACATAAATTAGTCTAGTTAGGAAAACAGAAGCCACTGCAGTTTTGTTTTTTAACAGCTGTATTTGTGGGGCGCCTGGGTGGCTCAGTGGGTTAAAGCCTCTGCCTTCGGCTCAGGTTATGATCCCAGGGTCCTCAGCGGGGAGCCTACTTCCTCCTCTCTCTCTCTCTGCCTGCCTTTCTGCATACTTGTGATCTCTGTCAAATAAATAAATAAAATCTTAAAAAAAAAAACAGTTCTATTTGTGTATAATTCACATGTTATCCATACAAAGTATATAATTCAGTGGTTTTTAATGTATACACAGAGATGTACATCCATCACCAGTCAGTTCTAGAACATTTTCGTTACCCCAAAGAAACCCCATATCCATTAACAATCAGTTTTCATTTCCCCTTGCCCACTAATTCCTCCAGATTAGGCAGATACTAATCTGATTTTTGTCTATAAATTTTTCTATTCTTGGCCTTTCATAGAAATGGAATCATAAGTATGTGATCCTTTGTGTCTGGCTTCCTTCACTTAACATTATAGTTTTGAGGTTCGTCTACATTGTAGCATATTATCCGTGCCCCCTTCCTTTTCATGGCCAGTAGTATTCCACATTTTGTGTATCCATTCATCAGTTGATGGGCATTTGAGCAGTTTTTCACTCTGGCAATTATGAATGTGCTGCTGTGAATATTAATGTAGGAGTGTCTGTGTGGTTGTGTATTTTCATTTCTTCTGAATTGCTGTCATATAGTAATTACATATGTAACCTTTTGAGGACATCTGGTTGTTTTAAGAGAACTTAATAGGAGGACTCTACTTAACGGCTATGATTAAAAGGAAAATAGTAGACAGAGGTAATGCAGAGATGGTAACTGCAGGATGCAGCCACCATCCTTGGGCTAGGGCTACAAGGGGAGATTTGGGTGGGGAGGTGGGGTGTTTAGGACTTAGAGGAAGGTATTCAGACTCCTGAAGCGAGAGGTGTGCTGACTAGTCTGTTTACACTCATGAAGGGTCAGGATGAGGCTAGTTCTGAGAGTGTGGGGAAAAAAGAAGCAGAATTAAAACCAGCAGAGCCCTGTTGATGGATGCTGACAGGGAGCTTCTAGTGAAGAAGCGTAGTTTGCAGAGCCCCAACCCCTGCACACAAAACAGATCAGAGAAGGGTGGGATTGGGAGCTGAAGGGCAGGCAGTAGCTTAATAGCCAGTATCCAGAGTTTCTGGTCTGATTTTTTAAGAGCATAATTGGCTTTGTAGACTTAGAAATGAGCAGTTCTGCTTGCTGTGACTGAACTTCCCTCCTCTTCCACCTCTGCCTGCCCTTCACATCCTCTGTGCTCCTCAGTCCTCATTCCTGTTGACACAGGGCTTGGCTCTGACGTCTGGGCATCCATGTCATGCTCAGTTCTGATGTTTTTCTTGAATATAGGACTTTCCTTTCGGAGGCCAAATGTGATCACCTTGCTGGAGAAAGGGAGAGCGCCTTGGGTGGTGGAGCCAGTGAGGAAGCGCCGGGGCGCGGGTGAGTGACTGAGAATCGAGAATCGAGGCTTACGTGTCGCCGTCGTAAGTGTACCCTCCATCCTGAGCGGGTGGCCTCTTGGAGATGTTTGCAAACTGCCAGTTTCCATACCTTTCCAGACTGCAAGTTTCCATACCAAACCCCAGGCCTGTAAAGAATAAATTGTTTAATGTGAGCCCCAGAAGGAGAATAACCAACATTTAATAAACCCTTCCTACGTACCAGACGTGCTTAGGTTCCTCCCGATCCTGTACGGTAAGTACTATTACTGTTCCTGTCTTATATATGAGGAAACCAGGTATCAGAGACGTTCAGTGACTTGCCTAAGGTAGCCCAGGTAGGAAGTGACAGCAGAGCCAGGTTTGAACCCCACAGTCTGGTCTCAGAAGCTCCGCTCTTAATGCCTCATCCCCACCTATCACATTCCCTGCCTCGACATGTTCCGCCTTCTCTCGTGACAGCATTGCTCATGGTAATTTCACACTTGCATCATTTTCTTCATTCTTAAAAAAAAACATTTTCCACAACTGTTCATTTTGATTACTTTCTAAGAACTCATTCTCTTTTCTGATAGATTTCTCTTTGGTTAGGTTAGTTTTACTTACTTATTTTAATAGTTTTATGACTTTTTTTGTTGTTGTTTTGTTTGTTAAGTAGGTTCTACAGCTAGCATGGAACCCAACATGGGGCTTGAACTTACGGCCCTGAGATAGAGTCAGACTCTTAACTGACGGCACCCCTGAGGTTTTTTTTAATTGTAAAAAAATTCATGTCATTGAATTTGTATCTTAACCATTTTAAAATGTATAGTTACGTATATTCACATTGTTGTGCAACAGATATCCAGAACTTTTCCATCTTGTAATAATTTTTGGAACTATATTCACAAAACACTAATTCTTCCTCCATCCTTCCACCTAGACCTTGGTAACCACCTTTCTTTGTATTTTTCTGATTTTGATTACCATGGATCCTTTGTATAAATGGAGTCATATAGTATTTGCTTTTTGTAAGTGACTTTGTTTGCTGAACATAATGTTCTTGAGGTTCATCCATGTTGTAGCATGTGACAGGATTTTCCTTTTTTTTTTAAGGCTGCATAATATTTCACTGTATATATCATATTTTTTTAATCCATTTATCAATGGCTATTTGGGTTGTTCTGCTTCTTGGCTACTGTGAATAATGCTCCAATGAACACGGAGTACAGATAGGTATTTAAGATGCCGATTTCAATTTTTTTTGGATATGTACCCGGAGGTGGGAATTGCTGGATCATACCATAATTCAATTTTATTATTATTTTTATCATTATTATTATTATTATTATTTAAATACTTCTATTTATTATTATTTGGGGATCCTCCATACTATTTTCCATAATGGCTGCACCATCTGTCATTTCCACCAACAGTATGCAAGTGTTTCAACTTCCTGTCAGCACTTGTGATTTTTTGGGTTTTTTTGGTAGTGGCCATCCTTACGGGCATGAGGTGATATTGCAGGTTTGATTTGCATTTCCCTAATGATTAGTGAGGTTGAGCATCTTTTCATGTGTTTATTGGCCATCTGTCTGTCTTCCTTGGAGAAGTGTCTATTCAAGTCCTTTGCCCATTTTTAAAAATAGGGTTGTTATTTGTTGATGAGTTATAGTTTTTTATATATTCTGTATATCAGTCCCTTATCTGGTGATTTGTAATTATTTGTTCTTATTCCATAGGTTGCCTTCGCACACTATGATAGTTTCTTTTGACTTGCTAATGTAGTCCCATTTGTCTGGAGTTTTTGTTTGTTAATTTTTGTTTTTATTTGTGTGTGCTTTTTCATGTCATATCTGAGAAATCAGTGCCAATTCTAATATCCTAAACCTTTTCCTCCAATGTTTTCTTCTAAGAGTTCAATAATTTTAGGTTTTACATTTAGGTCTTTAATCTTTTTTGAGTTAATTTTTGTATAAGGGGTAAGGTAAAGGTCCAATCCAAGATCATTCTTTCGCATATAGATAATCCAATTTTCTCAACACTGTGGAAGAGACCGTCCTTTCCTCATTGAGTAATCTTGGCTCCCTTGTTGAAAATCATTTGATTAGATATGCAAGAGTATATTTCTTAGCTTTCTGTTTTGTTCTCTTGGTATCTTTTTTCCATTACCACACTGTCTTAATTACTGTTGCTTTGTAGCAATATCTGTGTGTCAAACAATCAGTAGTGTCCAACTGACTGAGCCACCCAGGAGCCCCAAAGTTCTGTTTTATTTTCATTTAGTTCAAAGTATTTAAACATTTCTTTTGTGATTTCATGTGTTATTTTGAAATGCATTACTTAATCTTGATGTAGTTAGGGATTTTCCAGTGATCTTTCTGTTACTGATTTCTAGTTTTAATTTCCCTGTGGTCTGAGAGCGTTACGTCATTTCGGTCATTTGTTAAGGTATGTTTTAAGGCTCAGAGTGTGGTCCGTCTTGGTGAATGTTCTCTGTGAGCTTGAGAATAGTATGACTTCTCCTATTGTTGAATGAAGTGGTCTATGGATGCCACTTATATCCAGTTGAATGAAGATACGGTTGAGTTCCCTAATTGATTTTCTGCTTACTCGGTCCATTCATTTATGAGAGAGGGGTGTTGAAGTCTTAACTATGATATGATAGAGTATGATATGTATGATAGAGTAACTATGATAGAGTAATTTGATAGAGTAATTTGATGCTTTGTTGTTCGGCATATACCCATTAAGAATTGTTATGTCTTCTGAAGAATTGATTTCTTTGTCATTATATAATGCCCCCCTTTATCCTTGATACCTTTCAGTGCTTTTAAGTCTGCTCTGTCCAAAATTAATACAGCTACTCCTGCTTGCTTTTGATTTGTGTTAGCATGGTATATTTTTCTCCATTCATTTACTTTCATTATGTGTCTTTATATCTGAAGTGAGTTTCCCTTTTTTTAAGTTTTTTTTTTTTTTAAACAATATATAATGTATTATTAGCCCCAGGGGTACAGGTCTGTGAATTGCCAGGTTTACACTCTTCACAGCACTCAAAATAGCACATACCTTCCCCAGTGTCCATAACCCAACCACCCTCTCCCTAACCCCCTCCCCCTGGCAATCCTCAGTTGTTTTGTGAGATTAAGAGTCTCTTATGGTTTGTCTCCTCCCAATCCCATTTTGTTTCATTTATTCCTCTCCTACCCCCTAGACCCCCCACATTGCCTCTCAACTTCCCCATATCAGGGAGATCATATGATAATTGTCTTTTTCTGATTGACTTATTTCACTCAGCATAATACTTTCTAGTTCCATCCACATCGTCGCAAATGGCAAGATTTCATTTCTTTTGATGGCTGCATAGTGTTCCATTTTATATATATATACATATACATACACATACATACATATATGTATGTATATATATGTATGTATGTGTATGTATATGTATATATACCACTATATATATATATACCATATATATACCACTTATTTATCCATTCATCCATTGATGGGCATCTAGGTCCTTTCCATAGTTTGGCTATTGTGGACATTGCTGCTATAAACATTTGGGTGCAAGTGCCCCTTCAGATCATTACATTTGTATCTTTAGGGTAAATACCCAGTAGTACGATTGCTGGGTCATAGGGTAGCTCTATTTTCAACTTTTTGAGGAACCTCCATGCTGTTTTCCAGAGTGGCTGCACCAGTTTGCATTCCCACCAACAGTGTAGGAGGGTTCCCCTTTTTCCGAATCCTCGCCAGCATCTCTCATTTCCTGACTTGTTCATTTTAGCCATTCTGACTGGTGTAAGGTGGTATCTCATTGTGGTTTTGATTTGTATTTCCCTGATGCCGAGTGATGTGGAGCACTTTTGCCCGTGTCTTTTGGCCATCTGGATGTCTTCTCTGAAGAAATGTCTGTTCATGTCCTCTGCCCATTTCTTAATTGGATTATTTGTTCTTTGGGTGTTGAGTTTGATAAGTTCCTTATAGATTTTGGATACTAGCCCTTTATCTGATATGTTGTGTGCAGATATCTTCTCCCATTCTGTCAGTTGTCTTTTGGTTTTGTTAACTGTTTCCTTTGCTGTGCAAAAGCTTTTGATCTTGATGAAGTCCCAATAGTTCATTTTTGCCCTTGCTTCCCTTGCCTTTGGTGATGTTCCTAGGAAGAAGTTGCTGCAGCTGAGGTCAAAGAGGTTGCTGCCTGTGTTCTCCTCAAGGATTTTGATGGATTCCTGTCTCACATTGAGGTCCTTCCTCCATTTTGAGTCTATTTTCGTGTGTGGTGTAAGGAAATGGTCCAGTTTCATTTTTCTGCATGTGGCTGTCCAATTTTCCCAACACCATTTGTTGAAGAGACTGTCTTTTTTCCACTGGACATTCTTTCCTGCTTTGTTGAAGATTAGTTGTCCATAGAGTCAAGGGTCTATTTCTGGGCTCTCTATTCTGTTCCATTGATCCATGTGTCTGTTTTTGTGCCAGTACCATACTGTCTTGATGATGACAGCTATGTAATAGAGCTTAAAGTCTGGAATTGTTCTGCCACCAACTTTGGCTTTCTTTTTCAACATTCCTCTGGCTATTTGAGGTCTTTTCTGGTTCCATATAAATTTTAGAAGTATTTGTTCCATTTCTTTGAAAAAAATTGATGGGATTTTGATAGGGATTGCATTAAACATGTAGATTGCTTTAGGTAGCATAGACATTTTTACAATACTTGTTCTTCCAATCCATGAGCATAGAACATTTTTCCATTTCTTTGTGTCTTCATCAATTTCTTTCATGAGTACTTTATAGTTGTCAGAGTATAGGTTCTTTGTTTCTTTGTTTTTTTTTTTTTTAAGATTTTATTTATTTCTTTGACAGAGATCACATGTAGGCAAAGAGGCAGGCAGAGAGAGAGGAAGGGAAGCAGGCTCCCTGCTGAGCAGAGAGACCGATGCGGGGCTCAATCCCAGGACCCTGGGATCATGACCTGAGCCAAAGGCAGAGGCTTTAACCCACTGAGCCACCCAGGCACCCCAGGAATTAATTCTTCTTTAAATGTTTGGTAGAATTCCCCTGGGAAGCCGTCTGGCCCTGGGCTCTTGTTTTTTGGGAGATTTTTGTGATGACTGCTTCAGTCTCTCCTTACTGGTTATGGGTTTGTTCAGGTTTTCTGTTTCTTCCTGGTTCAGTTTTGGCAGTTTATATGTCTCTAGGAATGCATCCATTTCTTCCAGATTGTCAAATTTCGTGGTGTGTAGTTGCTCATAATATATTCTTATAATTGTTTGTACTTCTTCAGTGTTGGTTGTGATTTCTCTTCTTTCATTCATGATTTTATTTGGGTCTTTCTCTTTTCCTTTTGATATGTCTGGCCAGGGGTTTATCAATCTTATTAATTCTGTCAAAGAACCAGCTCCTAGTTTCGTTGATTTGTTCTGTTGTTTTTTTGGTTTCTGTCTCATTGATTTCTGCTCTGATCTTTATTATTTCTCTTCTCCTGCTGGATTTAGGCTTTCTTTGTTGCTGTTTCTTCAGCTCCTTTAGGTATAGGGTTATGTTGTATATTTGAGACCTTTCTTGTTTCTTGAGAAAGTCTTGTATCACTATATATTTTCTACTCAGGACTGCCTTTGCTGTGTCCCACAGATTTTGAACTGTTGTATTTTCATTATCATTTGTTTCCATGAATTTTTTAAATTCTTCTTTAATTTCCTGGTTGACCCATTCATTCTTTAGAAGGATGCTGTTTAGCCTCCCATGTATTTGGGTTCTTTCCAAATTTCCTCTTGTGATTGAGTTCTAGCTTCAGAGCATTGTGGTCTAAAAATATGCAGAGAATGATCCCAGTCTTTTGGTACCGGTTGAGACCTGATTTGTGACCCAGGATGTGATCTATTCTGGAGAATGTTCTGTGTAGTAGTGAAGAATGTGTATTCTGTTGCTTTGGGATAGAATGTTCTGAGTAGATCTATAAAGTCCATCTAGTCCAGTGCATCATTCAAAGCCCTTGTTTCCTTGTTGATCTTCTGCTTGGTTGATCTGTCCATTGCAGTGAGTGGGAGGTTAAAGTCCCCCTACTATTAATGTATTATTGTCGATGTGTTTCTTTGGTTTTATTAATTGGTTCATATAGTTGGCTGCTCCCATGTTAGAGGCATAGATATTTAAAATTGTTAGATCATCTTGTTGGGCAGACCCTTTGAGTATGATACAGTGTCCTTCCTCATCTCTTACTATAGTCTTTGACTTAAAATCTAAGTTATCTGATACAAGGATTGCCACCCCAGCTTTCTTTGACGTCCATTAGCATGGTAAATTGTTTTCTACCCCCTCATAAAGTGTGTTTCTTAATATAGCACACAGTTGGGCCATGTTTTTTAATTCTCTCTGAATTAAATCAAATTAAATTCGATCTCTCTTAATTGGTTTACACTGTTGATATTCAAAGTGATTATTTATACAGTTGGATTGATATGTACTATATATATAATAAATACATATATAAATATACTTTTTTATTAACACAATGTAATATTTGCCCCAGTGGTACAGGTCTGTGAATCATCAGGCTTACACATTTCACGGCACTCACCATAGCACATACCCTCCCCAATGTCCATAACCCAGCCACTTAAAAAAATTATTTTTATTTGTTGTATTTATTCTTTGCTTCTGTTTTTGTTTTCCACACTTTTTTTGCCTATCGTGGTTTTCATTTTTAATTTAATTTTTTAAAAATTTTATTGATTGAGAGAGAGCACAAGTGGGGGGGGAAGAGAGAGGGATAAGCAGACTTCCTGCTGAGCAGGGAGCCCAGTGAGGGGTTTGGTCACAGGACGCTGGGATCATGACTTAAGGCAAAGATAGATGCTTAACCAACTGAGCCACCCAAGCACCCCTGCCTATTCTGGTTTTAAATGAACATTTTTATGACTCCCATTTTCTGTCCTTCTTTAGTGTGTATGTGCAAATTTATTTTTTTTTTTTTTAGCATTTTTCCTGGTTGGTGTTCTCTGAGTGCCTTGAATCATGATTTGGTGTCTGACATTAATTTGGGGGAAATTCTCGTTCATTATTGCTTCAAATGTTTATTCTGTTCTTTTCTCTTTTTTTTATCCTGGCATTCTCATAACCCATTTGTTACTTTTTTTGTAGTTGTCCCACAGTCTTCAGGTAGTCTGGGATTTTGGTTTGTTTTTGTTTTTGTTTTTTCCAGTCTTTATTTACTTTGCTTTCTGGTTTTTAAGGATTCTGTTGATAAGTTAGCTCATAGAATCTTTCTTTAGCTATGTTGAATCTACTAATAAGCCCATCCAAGGCATTCTTTATTTCTGTTGTTGTGTTTTTGATCCATAATATTTTGCTTTGATTCTTAGCATTTCCATCTCTTTGCTTACATTGCCCATCTGTTCTAATATGCTGTATAGTTTACCTGTTAGAGTCGTTAACATGTTAATCATTTTTAAATTTCTGGTCTGATATTCCAGCATCGCTGCCATATCGGAGTCTGGTTTTGATGCTTGCCCTGTTTTTTCAAATTCTCTGTTTTGGTATGCCTTGTAATTTTTTTCTTAATGGCCAGAGGTGATGTACCAGGTAGAAGGAACTGATGTAAATAGCCCTTTCATTATGTGGTGGGTAAGGTGTGTTGGGATGGGAAGCATTCTGTCGTCCCCAGAATTAGGGCTCAGTCTTTTAGGTGCCTTTGCCTCAGGAGTATGAATAATATCACAAGTTTCTCAGCCTATATCTATCCCTCCTACCCCCTAGGAGGGACAGGATGGCTGGATGCAACTGGACTTGGAGGCAGTAGTTTATACTTTTTCCTCTTACGGTTCCAAGAAGAGCTGGTTTTACAACCTGTTTAGCTTTCGACTTGTTCGTTCGAAGTTGTGCTTTGCGAGCCTCTTACATGAGGAGCCAGAACAGAAGTCTGATTGTTTTTTGTTTTCTGTGTTATTTTTTTTTAATATTTGATGTTAAGAATACATTTTAAAAATTTATAACTTCACAAAAAATTTTATTGAGATATAATTTACATATTGTAAAATTCACCCATTTTAAGTGTATAATTCATTGGCAAATTTTGACAGATTTAACAAGTTGTATAGCCATCACCATAATCTAGTTTTAGAATATTTTTGTCAACCTAATAAAACTTTTCATGTCCATTTACAGTTAATCCCTATTCTCACCTCCACCCCAGGCAACTACTAGCTTACCTTCCATCTGTAGTTTATCTTCTGTCATTTTAGACATTGCAAATAATAAAAGTACATTCATCCAGTGAATAACTATGGAGTTTAATGTGGTATATGGTATGAGTTTATCCTACAAATAAACCTTTGATTTTATTAATTTCAAATTATAAGATTTCCTGAATTCTAATTATTAAATATTTCTATAAAGCCCTTACTGTGGGGGCACCTGGGTGGCTCAGTTGGTTATGTGTCTGCTTTCAGCTCCGGTCATGATCCCAGAGTCCTGGGATTGAGTCCCACATCAGGCTCCTTGCTCAGCCTGGGAGCCAGCTTCTCCTTCTCCCTCTACCTGCTACTCTGTCTGCTTGTGAGCTCTCTCTCTCTGTCAAATAAATAAAATTTATTTTTTTAAAAAAAGCCCTTGCTATGTTAAAATTACAATAAGACACTAAAAAGTTATTGTCTCAGCTGTCAGCATTATTATTACATGTTTGAGAAGTGTTGGTGGTATGATCATCATTGATAATGACTGCACAGAAGCTTCATTTTTCCAGCACAGGAAAACAAATACTGAATTTCTTGATGTCTTTCAGACTCAGGGTCTAAATGTGAGACCAAGAAGTTACATCCAAATCTGTGCAACAAAACTGGGCAAAGCATCTATCAGAAACCAGTTTCTGCTTCACAGAAGGTTCCCACCGGAAAGAGGGGCTGCAAGAAGAGTTCCGTTCTGATAAAACCCAGGAAGGTGCATTCGGGGAAGAAATCTTTAAAATGTAATGACTGTGGGAAAACCTTTGGTCAAAGCTTATCTCTTAAACTTCATCAGAAATCTCATACTGGAGAGAAGCCTTATGAATGCAGTAATTGTAGAAAAGCTTTCAGACAGATTTCATCCCTCATTCTTCATCAGAAAATTCACAACGGAAGGAAAAGCTATGAATGTGGTAAATGTGGAGAAAGCTTCATTCAGAGAACATCTCTTATTCTACATGGGAAAGTTCATAATGGGAAGGAAATCTCTGACTATGGGAAGGCCTTGAGTCAGTGTCCACCTGTCAGTGTGGGTCAGAAAATTAATTTTGTTGAGAACATCCACCAGTGTGGAAAGTGTGGAAAAGACTTCATTCGAATGTCATCCCTGTTACTTCATAAGAAAATTCACAGTGGAAAGAAAAGATATAAATGCAATAAATGTGGGAGAGGCTTCAATAAGAAATCAGCCCTTGTTATACATAAAAGAAATCATACTGGAGAGAAGACCCATGACAGTGAGAAGGCCTTAAGTCAGAGTCCACAGCAGAAAAGTCACCATTTAGAGAATCCTTATAAATGCAGAGCATGTGGAAAATCCTTTAATAGGATTTCATCCATTATGCTTCATCAGAGAATTCATATGTCAAAGAAAACCTATAAATGCGATAAATGCAAGAAGGTCTTCAGGCGGTTTTCAACCCTTATTCTACATCTAAGAATTCATAATGGAGAGAAATTGTACAGATGTAATAAATGTGAGAAGGTCTGTAATCGGCATTCATCCCTTATTCAACATCAGAAAATTCATACAAGGAAAAAGAAACTGTTTGAGTGTAAGGAATGTGGAAAGATGTTTTCTGGAACTGCCAACCTTAAAATACATCAGAACATTCATTCTGAAGAGAAACCTTTCAAATGCAGTAAATGTAGTAAGGTTTTTGGCCGACAGTCATTTCTTATTGAACATCAGAGAATTCATACTGGAGAAAAACCCTATCAGTGTGAGGAATGTGGAAAAGCCTTCAGTCACCGAATATCTCTTACTCGACATAAGAGAATTCATACTGAAGATAGACCGTACGAATGTGATCAGTGTGGGAAGGCCTTCAGTCAGAGTGCACACCTTGCCCAACATGAAAGAATTCATACTGGAGAAAAACCATATACGTGCAAAACATGTGGGAAGGCCTTTAGTCAACGGACATCCCTTATTCTGCATGAAAGAAGTCATACTGGAGAGAAACCATATGAATGTAATGAATGTGGGAAGGCCTTTAGCAGTGGTTCGGATCTTCTTCGGCATCAGAGAAGTCACTCTTCAGAGAAACCGTATGAATGCAGTAAATGTGGGAAGGCATATAGTCGGAGTTCATCCCTGATTCGACATCAGAGTACACATTCTGAAGACAAAGCCTAAGTCTGTTTTAAATATGTGAAAGCCTAGAGTGAGGCTATCAGAGGAGCAGAGACCAAGGCATTGGAAAATGCACTTGTCTGTAACATAAGTTTTGTAAAAATGGGACCGTTTGATGATGTGTCCCACTTTGAAAGCCAAAGAGCAGAAGTCATGGGTGACTCTGACCAGATGATTTGTGATCAGCTGAGTCAGTGACCTTATCACAGGTCCTAATTTCAAAGTAGCAGACTCATATGATTTGATCAGTCATTTTTAATGAATACCACTCTTCGTGTGATAAGAATTACTGATATTTTATTTCCAGTGTAATTGAAAGCTGTTTCATTAGTCACACACAGCAAAGTAGAACTACAGAGTCCATATTTGTGGATGGGGCTTTGAGCCTGATTTAAGGTCACATGAAGAATGAGTTTAAGTTGGTCTCTTAGGATTGGAACTATCACATGTTAAGAGATTTCCTGGGCAAACCAGGGTGCGACTTCCAGCTGGCAGAAAATTATGGGTGAGAAAATAGTGAGTCTTCAGGTGGTTTAAAGATAGTCCTCATAATTGTGTGAATCCGTTGAGTCATTGCCATATTGTCTCCGAATGAAGATGTGATATTCATCGTGTGAAAAATCTGACAAGCCTGAGACAAGCCGATGGGAAAAAAGAAAGCAGAGAAATGAGAAGTTAAAAGCAGGGAGTAATTATTTGTTACTGTTATTTGTTACTGTTTTACTAAAAATAAATTTGTCTATATTTATATAAATAAACATTGGTATTTTCCTGTAAGAACCCTGGTGTGTAATAAGTGATTGGTGGAAAATGAGATGCCATTCCTTGAATATGTCTTCTCAAATTGCATATGTCGAACCCTTAACCTCTAATGTGATGGTACTTTGAAATGGGACCTTTGGGAGATATTTAGGGAATAGATGCGGTTATGTGGGTGCATCATGATAGGACTAGTGTCTTTTAAAAAGAGGATGCCGGAGATTTTGCTCTTTCTGGTTTATGAAGATACTGCAAGAAGATGGCTGTGTATAAGCCAGGAAGATAGTCCTCACTACATCCAACCATGTGACACCCTGACCTCGGACTTTTAGCCTCCAAAACTAAAAAGTAAGTTTCTTTTGTTTAAGTCACCTCGTCTGTGGTATTTTGTTATGGCATCTGGAATGGCTAGTACATCGGGGCAAAACCCTGGATTTATGTACCAGGCTCTTTTCCTGTGTGCTAATCACCATATATGATAACTTTCAGTCTCTGTTTCCAGCTTGTGCAAAGTATGTGAGAAATAAAATCAGTTTTTTTTGTTTCTGGGCTGTATATACTTGCACTCTAATGCAAAAGCCATTTTTAAAACCACCCATATCCTGTTAAGGTAACTGTGGAATGCATGACCACATAGCTTTAGGTCACTCTGATTTTGACCACAACTGAGAAAACATCCAGATTTGCAGAGGGTAAGCATGCATACAGAGTAACAGTAAATTTTCATTTACACTTGTCATAGTCGTTCTGTAAAATCAGCATAAAATATCTCTGACATTTGGAGCAAATAGGTGAGCGGATAATACAGAAAAGGTTCATGGAGAGGCATGTCTATTCTTCCTCCCCTTGCATGCCCTTCCCTTTGTTTAATTCTTCTGTCGGTCTGCCATAGAGATTGATTCCAAATCATTGGTCACTAACCTAATAAACTGATAAGACAATGTTCTTGCTTACAGACACTTAAAATTTACAAGGGAATACAGCATATTAGAATGTGGAAACATGGGGTGCCTGGGTGGCTCAGTGGGTTAAAGCCTCTGCCTTCGGCTCAGGTCATGATCCCAGGGTCCTGGGATCGAGCCCCTCATTGGGCTCTCTGCTCAGCAGGGAGCCTGCTTCCTCCTCTCTGTCTCTGCCTGCCTCTCTGCCTATTTGTGATCTCTGTCCGTCAAATAAATAAAATCTTAAAAAAAAAAAATGTGGAAACATGCCCAGTATACAGGTAATACAGAGAAGAAGATGGTGAACTCCAAGGTGAATAGAGGACAAGGGGACATGGTCACTTGGAGATAGTGACCATATTAAAGGAAGAATAGGACATTAAATTGGCAAGGCACACAAAAGTTGGAAGGCTGCTGAGGGCAAAGAGAAAGTACAGATGCACAAAATAGTCACAGGAGGTTGTAGAGTATTAAAGGAATTACAAATTTTGGTATTTAGTACAGTGACTGGCACATTGGAAGTGGTTAGTACTTATTAAATATTGAGTTAATAAATGGATTAATGAAAATAATATATCCTGATTTCCTCTGAGATGTCATTGACAGGGAACACTTAAACCTGGAGGTGACCCAGGTTTATTGAGATAAACCCTTGGGAAAACAGGCTCCCATTTTAAGGAATCACTAGTAATGTTTGAAGACTGCTAAACTCTGGGTAACCATAGCAACAGCCAAACTTAAACCTAGTCCAGTTCTTGTCTATATTAATGACACCCGCCCCCCCGCCACACACACAAGAGGCTTAACAGAAGAAATGACACAACCATTTCTGGGAAGTCTATTTACCTCTTTCTACTGTCCTGTACAAGATTTCTAGCTTGGGGCCTGGAGTGGGAGGGGAGCAAAATTAAGTATTGCAAAAAAGCAAGAAGAATCTACACTCCCCGCCCCCACCAAGTGAAAGAACAGCTACTGAGAAGTACATAGGGATTGGACTGACAGAATTTTTAATATGTTAAAGGTGCACAACAGCAAATAGCGGGTCATTTGAGCAGAGAGAGATGAATGATGGGAATACTAGAAATGACCACAAACTGCCTTCAGCAGGCTTATCAATACACTTGACACAGCCAGGGAAAGAGTACGTGAACTTGAGAATCCCCCCAAGCCAGAACAACTTGGGGCGGGGCGTGCGGGGAGATGACGAAAGAACATCCAGGGGCTGTGGGGGAAGGACCTGCCGTTTGGACACATGCATAACTGGAATCCCAGAAGGACCAGAGAAAACGGGGAAGAAATATTTGAAGATAAAGTAATGACTGATGACACCAGAACAGATACATATAGGTCAGAGAATACCAAGAACAATTTTTTAATTACGGAGGAACAATGGTAAGAATTACAGCAGACTTAGGGGGGAAAAAAGAATTACAGTAGGGGCACCTGGGTGGCTCAGTTGGTTAAGCAGCAGCCTTCGGCTCAGGTCATGATCCTGGATCCGAGGATCTAGTCCCACATGGGGCTTCCCGCTCAGCCGGGAGTCAGCTGCTCTGACCTCTCCCCTCTCATTTTCTCTCTCTCAAATAAAATCTTTAAAAAATAAAAAGAATTACAGTAGACTTAGAAGTAATGCAAACTAGAGGACAATGACGTTTGTAAAGTGCTGGAAGGAAAAAGCTGTCTTTATTGAAACTTCATGGAAATGTCTTTCAAAATTGATAGAGGAATGAAGACCTCAAAATAAAAACAATACATTCTCAGAAGACCGATCTGAAATAAATGAAGTTCTTGAAGCAGAAAGAATGTGAAACCACAACAGATTCCTGGGCAAACATAAAGGAAAGAAGAGAAATGGAATAAATGAAGGTAAAATGATTTTTCTTTGCTTATGTAAATGTCCAAAATATAAGTTTAAAACTGTAACATGCTTTGTGTGTTTATTGCATGTAAAAGTAAAATTCATGACAGGTGCAAAGGATGGGAGAGAGAAACTGGGAATACGTTATGCAGGATCTTGTTAAGTGGCACATTACTTGATAATACATTCTGGTTAATTAAAAATACATGTTAACCCTAGTGTAACCACTAAAATTTTTTAGAGAGGTAAATTTGTTAATAGAGTAAGATGGAATAATATAAAAATATTCAGTTAACCCAATAGAAGGCAAAAGAAAAAGAACAAAAGCCAAACAATGGACAGAACAATTAGAAAATGGTTAAGAGGATGGATTGACTTCATTCCAAATATGTATATATTATATCAGTTACATAATATATGATATATATAACATAACATATATATGTGTATATATATTTACATCAAATGCAGATGGTTTAGGGGCACCTGGGTGGCTTAGTTAATCATCTGACTTTGGCTCAGGTCATGTTCCCAGAGTCATGGGATTGAGCCCTATATCAGGTTCCCTGCTCAGCGCAGAGTGTGCTTCTCCTGCCCCTTGCCCTGCTTCTGATCTCTCCTCTCTCTCTTTCTCTGAAATAAATAAATCTTTAAAAAGAAATACAGATAGTCTAAGCATACCAGTTAAGAGATTTAAGACTGAATGGAAAAGCAGGACCCAAGTGTATGCTAGCAGAAACACACTTTATACTGGCATAAATCATTAAAAGTTAACTAGTGGGGAAAAGACAGATCATGAAAACACAAAAAGAAAGTTGGAATCACTATATTAGTATCAGATGAAGCTGACTTTAGAACAACCAATGTAATCAGGGATAAAGAGAAACATTATATTACAAAGGAATCAATTTTCAGGTAAACAATCCTAAGTGTATATGTATCAAGTTATAGAAGTACAAGTTACACAAGTGAGAAAAGAACAGAAAGGGCAGATAGACCAGTTCACTATTATTGGGGATTTCACCATTGTCTTCAGCTATTAATAGAACAAGTAGACACAAAATCAGAATATAGAAGACCTGAACAACACAGTTGACCAAGTTACCTAGTTGACGTTTATAAAACACCACAAGAGCAGAATACATTCCTTGAAGAAGTACACAAGACCACAAAACAAATTCTAAGTTTTAAAGTTATATAAAGTATATTCCCTGTCTGTTGCAGAACTGATCTAACAATAACAGTAAGGTTCCTGAAAATATTTGGGAGACTTAAATTACAAATTACAGAGGTGCATGGGTGGCTCAGTCGGTTAAGCGTCTGCCTTTGGCTGAGGTGGTGATCCCACAGTCCTAGGATCGAGTCCCGCATTGGGCTCCCTGCTCAGTGGGGAGTCTGCTTTTCCCTCCCTTTCTGCCTGGCAGTTCCCTGCTTGTACTCTCTCTGTCAAATAAAATATATTTTTTTTAATTACAAATTACATTTTAAAAATAACTTCAGGTTATCTGTTTCTTCTTGAGAAAGCTTGGTAGTTTAAAGAAATTTTCCCCATTCCCCATTTTCCCTTCCCCTAGGTTGTCAAGTTATTTCCATAAAGTTCGCAACATTCTCTTACCATTTCATGGCTAGAATTTGTGGTGATGTCACCTTTGCCATGCCAGATAGTAATAATTTGTGTATTTTTACTTATTTTTAACTTGTGTATTTTTTCAGCAGTCTGAATGAAGATACATTGGTTTTATTGACCTTTTTATTTTTCTGTTTCCAATCTCATTTATTTCTGTTAGTCATTTCCATTTTTATGCTAACTTTGTGTTTCATTGCTCTTCATTTTCTAATTAAGGTGGAAATTAAGGTCACTTGGAGCTTTCAAAATTTTATAACTTTAGTACTATTATATTTCCTTCTAAGAACTCTTAGTTGCATCCCACACATTTTGACATGCTGTGTTCTAAGTTTTATTCAATTTAAAATACCTCCTATTTTGCCCTTGATTTCTCTCTTGACCCATGCATGGGTTACCATTTAGGTCCAGACGTTTGGAGATTCTCCAAGTATGTTTCGTTTACTGATGTCTAATCCCTTCTGGTCAGGAAACGTATTTTGTATGACCTGAATCCTTTCAAGTTTATTGAGATACACC